ACTACGCTAAAAGGTCACTATTACATATAAAGACAACAAACATAACATACAAATATGAACAACAAACTAAATAAATAATATTTATTTATTATTTAACCAAATAAAAACATAACATTAACAATACAAATTATTTATCAAATTTTAACAATTTTTTGTCTCAAAGCTAATAAATCAATCCGGGTATAAATAAGATACAAATTTAAACACAAATATAACACAAATTAACATGGAAACATATTCAACAATACAAATATGCATGTACTATACGACTTTCGACATAAACAAAATACGAAATAACCTACGATTTAAGTTTTATTAGAATTTTTGATTGAAATCGAATTTTGCACCCGAATGAACGAATTCAAAGCTTCTCTTGTGTGCGGGACCTATACTCTTTGCTTTCTGGGTGACGGGTGGGGCCCAAAATTTTTTTTTTTAACTTTGACAGGGGTGGGGGACCAGACAGATGCTCGTTTTTTTAATAGGGGGGGGGGGGACATCTGTCGTGGTCTGGGGAGAAGAAGGGGCTTTATTTTATTAAGCAATTCGCAGTACTATACTGCGAATTACTTAAACCAGTATAGTACTGCGAATTGCTTTAATAAAATAAGCTGGGGCCAATTTAAGTAATTCGCAGTATTGTACTGCGAATTCACTTTAAAAAAAGTTTTAGTAATACGCAGTACTATACTGACGTAATTAACTTTAACGGCTAAATTTCCGTTAAAGCAATTCGCAGTATAGTACTGCGTTTTAGGTAGTTATGTAACTTTTTTTTTAATAGTAGAAATGTGCTTTTTGTCCAAAAAAGAACATTAGAAAAATTTCGGACTCATATAAGCACAACCGATCATAAATTGGTTAAGTTAATAAAGTATACAACTTCCAAAAGTATGTCAGTAAATGGGCCAATAAAACTTTTTGAGAAAGGCTTTAATTTAGAGCACAAGAAAATTTTCATACATTACTTTGTGGTTGTATTTAATCCTATCATCTTACGTAAAAATTGCACGGGGCGCCCTATTTGGTCGCCCCCATTTAACCTATACCCATTTTTTTTAAATGTTTTAATTTGTACCCACTTTTTAAACAACTTCAGCCCCCTTTCTTCTCCTCCTTCTCCACGCAAGAGATGCATTGTCCATCCTTCGGTTCAGCGGCGTTTCTTTCAACGTTATCGTCTCAGATATCCACATGCCTGATATGAATGGCTTTCAGTTACTGTACAAAGGTGTTTGGCGTTTGGGTTTCGAAGTTATATTTTATTTCCAGCTTTGGATAGCAGCGTAGCTTTTGCTTTTTGGCATATGTGGACTTCTAAAATAGGGAAGTAGAAGTCATTGCAGGCAGCATGTGAATTGGATTACGCAAAAGAAAAATATATTTGTGAATACTTTCAACGTTCAAATCATATGGAAAGTCAGTTAAAACTTTAACTCTAAGAAGGCTGAAGTTCGCCAGTTACAAACAAAAACTTCAGCTCTAGAGCTGAAGTTCGTCAGTTACAAAGCAAAAACTTCAGCTCTAGAGCTGAAGATCGCCAGTTACAAAACAAAAACTCAGCTCTAGAGCTGAAGTTCGCCAGTTACAAAAACAAAAACTTCAGCTCTTGAGCTGAAGTTCTCCGGTTACAAAACAAAAACTTCAGCTCTAGAGCTGAAGTTCGCCAGTTACAAAACAAAAACTTAAACACACTTAGTTCAGCACACTTGCTACTTCAGTCCCGTATACTAGAATGCTGAAGTTTTGCGTGATTGCCTTTGCTACTTCAGCCCCGTATGCTGAAGTTACGCGAAAAAGTGGGTACGCTTGCAATTTTTTTTGCAAAGCGAGCACAAGTTAAAACGTGACCCAAAAAGCGGGTATAAATGCAAATGCCCCTCATCTTACTCATAATTTTCATACATTACAAACTGGAGCAAAAATCTTAAGTTGCATTAGAATGTCAATATTCAAAAATAAAAAGAGCAAATTGGCAAACCTTAATTTAAAATTGTACTTGTTGGGGAGAGAGCTGCTATTTTTTTGCTTTTCTGTTTGACTAATTTTTCTTCTTCTATACTTCTTTTTGTCAAACTATTACAGTCAGTAGTAATTTTTTTATTTGTACTAAGTCTTCAAGAACCTGTTTGGAAAGGCACCTTGGAATGGATTTGGGTGTAATTGAGTGTAATTATGTAGTTTGGCATGTTTGTTTGGCCAAGTAATTACTTGGTCAGCATGGAATTAGGTGTAATTACACTCTCCAATTCTCAAGGGGAAGATGAGAATTGGTGGTAATTACACTGTGTAATTATAAGGTTGCTTTTTAGTTTCTTTCCTTTTATTTTTATTTTAATTTATTTTCTTTATAACTTTTTATTTCTATTATTTTAATTTTTAATTTTATTTTACTTTTTAGTTTCTTTTGAAATTTGAAAATATATTTTTCTTTATACATTAATATTTATCTTTTATTTCTCTACCTTTACTTCTTGTGATTCCATGTAATTGCTTATAAAAATTTATCGGCATATATTTATTATATTAACTTTTAAGTTTTGATAATACTTTATTTAAAATTTAATCTAATTGTGTAATTACACTTGTGCAACCAAACAGTAAACTTGTAATTACACTATGACAAACAAACAAGTCGTTGTAATTACACAACTTGTAATTACTAGGCTGTGTAATTACACCAATCCCAATTACCTGGTGGCTTTCCAAACTGACCCTAAATGAACAATTTCAGTTGGAAAATAACAAGTAAGAAGCAAACAAAGCGTCGTGTGGGATTAATGAGATCTTCTAGAGGAATTTCGTGTTTGAACCCTCACAATAATGAACCCCGGGAGGGACCACTTTCCTCTTAATAGGTGACATATGACACGAATCTGAATTAGTCTAGCCATGAACTCCTCATGCCGGATGATTAAAACCAAAAAAGGAAAAAAAAGAAGAAAAGAAATTAGCTAGATTAATTACTTTGTCATGTGTTGCAAACATTGATAAGACCAAAGGTTCAATGAGCATGGTTAAATTCCTAATATCATTTATCAACACCATAACTAGCAAAAATTCTAGAAGACCTTATTAATGTAGCCACTCTTTTGTTTCTCTTAGTGCCGGGCTTTATCTACTGGTTATTATTTTGCTTTTCATCTATTTCTGGTTCTTGTGATGCTGTTATTTTTTCTATGGTTTTTATTGTGGTACTGATATATTGCCTCTTTTTGCTTTTTGAGCCGAGGGTCTATCGGAAACGGCCTCTCACCCACTCGGGATAGGGGTAAGGTATGCATACACACTACCCTCCCCAACCCCCACTATTACGATTTAACTGCTTGTTAATGTAGCTTACCTCAACTCAAGTAAAAATAAATCAAAACAGTAAATACCATTCTAGGGTTACGTTTAAGCAAGTGGTGAACCTTGTTTAAAATGTCAATTAAACCCTTCATATATATATATATATATATATATATATATNATATATATATATATATATATATATATATATATATATATATATATATATCACACATATATATAAAGTGTAAAACTAGTACTCTCTCCGTTTCAATTTAAATGACACTTTCCTTTAGTTTGTTTCAAAAAGAATGATACATTTCTATATTTTTAGAAATAATTAACTTTAAACATTTTATTTTACCCACTTAATTTACCCGAAAACTTTTATAGTCACACAAATATCATGGTCTCACAAAGCTTTTGCGTCTTATGCTTTTAGGACTACATGTTTCAAAAATCTTTTTTCTAACTTTGTGCCAAGACAAACTATATCATCTAAATTGAAACGGAGAGAATACTAGTAAAAAGGAAGGGTTCTTGCTGAATGGAAGATATGGCTGGGACACACGAATGCATGCAATAAAATTACTGATAATGTACTAATATTTGGTGGTAGCAGAGGCTGCCGCTACTGATTCTTTGATGATCTCGAGAAGACAATGAATTTTAGAGAATGATAGAAATGATGGAACTGCTGGTTAATTCAGAGATAAAGGAATTAAAGAGAAATTACGATGGTCTGACAACAACAGGAGAGGAGAAAAAAATGAACCAAATTAACATCTTTATAGTACTGCTGCAACACCTGCTATGGAATTAGCCCTATATCCTATTTACATTTATCAAGAAACTACTGTAAACTCAATACCATGCATACTGCCGCTATTAATATCATCCTCCTTGTGAAGATATTAATGTTTTTAATTAATTCACTAATAAGGATGTGGTTTAATTTGGTTTGGCTAAGTACATGTTCAATGTTTTTTGCAGCCGCAGTCCCAGCCCTAGTATTGAATAAGTATGTGCAATAGGTTTAATTAAACCCTCCGCATATAAATGCTGGGAAAGATCTTAAGTAAAATTTTGATGTTGCAGCTAGACTGCTGGTCCCCCATATACCCTTTTGGTTACATTACTTTAAAATAAAAAAGCATTTCCGTACCCATACTCATCAAGTTGCATTTATTAAACAAAGAAACTGTAATGGTTGATGAGAATCAGCAGTTAGACTTTGCTTGTTTTGGTGCCCTTTGGATAGGTGTCTTTCAACTCAACAATAACAACAACAACATACGCAATATTATCCCATACTGTGGGATTTTGGGAGGGTAGTGTGTACACAGACCTTACCCCTACCTTGTGAGGATAGAGAGACTACTGTGGGATTTGGGGAGGGTAGTGTGTACACAGACCTTACCCCTACCTTGTGAGGATAGAGAGACTGTTCCCAATCGGCCCAGGAAAGCATAAGGTGTCTTTCAACTAGAATTCACATAAGGAGCTAGTGCCTTAGCAGCTTTGCAGCGTATTAGGTAAAGAGAAATGGTCCATATATATATATATGAACAAACTAAAAGCTGAAACGAAACATAAACTAGAAAATGCATGCATGATCTAATATATATATAGAGAGAGAGGACTTAGCTAGAGATCACTCATGATGCTGGAGAATCTCCTTTTACAATGACATGAAATAATTTATTACTTTCAGTAAACCATAAACAAATCCCATAAATAGGACAGTTCACATGGACATCTTTCTAGACTCTCAATAATAGAACAGAAAATGTAGCAACCATAGACTTAGCTTGCCATGCCACATTTTAGGTCGTCTCTGAATATGACACATAAAATACTTAGAGAAAGAGTTTTTTTTAAGCAGCACATCTACTAAAAGTCTAAACTCCCCAAATTTACGCCATAGTTATTCAGTCTAGCTAGGAAACTGCATGTGAGGAGTGCTAGCTAGCAACCATAGCAGGTTGTAGAAAAAGGAAATGATCCAAGAAACCTGAACCCTCTATAAATTAGGCTCAAATATTTCCTCCTCTTCCATGGCCTCCAGAAGGGCTTTGATCATTCCATGATGGAGGATAAGGGAAAGGAAAATTATGTGTTTGATGAAAACCTCCCAATTCATACCCCCTTTGGGGTGCAACCAATGGAGCTGAAACATCGTTGCAAGAAGCATAGCGAATTAAATCTGCGTTAGCAGCGTCGAGCTCCTTCTGGAGGCGCTCGACTTGGCGTTGGAGGAAAGTGATTGCGCCAACACACCCATAAACGGGATCCCTGACTCTTGCCTCGGCTTCGTAGGCCAAAGTGTTGACGGCGTCCTCCCTCTGGTGAGGGAGGAGCTCGTTCAGAAGCTTGGTCACATTGCTAGCCCCGAAGATTTTGTGGACATTGGCAAATTTCTGTGGCTCCTCAGGTGGGAAATAAGGTGCAAATATGCAGCCAGGCAGACATTTTCTCCTTAGGAATTTGCAGGCAGCACATGGGGAATTGTAGCAGCTGGATGAAGCCATATTTCCTCTCTAGCTAGCTAGCTGCACCAAGTTAACATGATCAAGTAAATCCCTTCTTTCAATTTTCTCTATATGCATCTTTAAGCCATATGGGGTATTTAACTATTCTACTGGTTACTATAAGCTAGAATATACTCACAACTTTTCCTTAACTATTTCTAGCCTAATTTCATTTTTTCCAATTTCGGATTTTCTTGAAACTTTTTGTCTTGAATAACCATCAAAGAACCTTAGCAAACCTACGATTAAGAAAAAGAGGAGAAAATTATAACTTGGCTAAGCTTTCTATCAAGAGGAAATCACAAAAAGTCTTTTATCATATCTGCATGTGTGTAGAGATCGTTCGGTGATACATGTACAATGTCTAATTAAATGAATTTGTTAATGGTATTCTATATAGCGCTAAGTTAGCTAATTATTTTTCTTATTCTGTTCTCTCCCCTAAAAAAATTAGTTCCTTTTTTCTTTCCTTTTAACGGCTAAAAGGAACTATGCATGGTTTGTTCAATTTAGTTTGAACAATTTGTCTTATCTATTATCATCCAACTAGCGCACAGCCACTAGAATACTTTGTTGAGTTCAGTTGGATGTAATGAGATATCCTTCTGAATATAAATTCTGTTAAACACAAGATCTGATCTGAATATAAACATGATGAAATCTACCGTTTTTGAAATACATTTTCAGAATATAAATTAAAAAACCGGTAAACCCTAGATCGACAACTATGACATATAGTAGTTGTATAGCAAATATTTGTTGGACTTTATCTTAACACCTTCCAAAAAGGAGTGGCAAGTGGCACAACAGAAAAAAATTTAGCTAAAAAAAGATAAGAGATCACAAGAAAATTAAACGTCATGACTTTACCTGTTCGTTGTGATCTATGTTTTTCTGATGAGAATAATGAAAAGGGAATTGAAGTACCTTTTTTATTTAATTCTCTTTGTGAGAGCTCTCTCAGAAAACTGGTTATACAAAGTAACAAAGAGAAAGTACTTCACAAGTTCTTTAAATTACCACTAGTGATGAAACCCTAATTGGAGAAGGGAGCTTTTGCCCTAATCTGCAAATCCTATAGCAAAAGTTGTGAACAAAACTGAAATGAGGAGGCAAAGAGCATTTAGTGATGGAGAAGGAATGAAGGCAAAAGACAAAAGGGCAATAAATGGGAGGTACATTATGATAAAAAAAAGATGACTATGGCCCTCAAAATCGAATAATAATAATATCAATAAGGAGCTGTGGGGTTGTTTCCCGTTTTTCCTTCTACCCTTTTCTTCCTGCTCATGCACTACTCAGTCACAACCAAAAGAAATTCTCAATATTTATTTCACTTTTTATATTTTTTTACTCTGTCAAATGAATCTCAAATAGTATGTGTCAAACATCTCATTTACCTCCTGGTCATTCCTTGTCTGGTTGGCCATTACCAATAATTCAGCAATTCAACCAACATGAACGGTTGTGATGGAGTGGTAGATACTTCTTCTTTCTTTTTAATTCGAATCTTGAGTATGAAGTCGCCCTAATTTTTGGAGCTCTTTACCTCCTAACATAGGATTTTTCGGCACAAATCCATATTTAATTTAGTCAGGTCCAATACATATATCCCGAATTTAGTCAGCCCCAATACCGGACAATATATAATAAGAGAGGAAGAGATTGAGATACTAGATAGTTTCTTAATTCAAAAAAAAAGTATATATTCTCGTCTGAATTGGAGCATAGAGATGATTGTTTGAAGAGAAAATGCGAATTAACATTGCGTATAAAAGAGAGCTAAGCCTTATCTGAATTTCCCTCCTAATTTGTAGAAAATCCTATCCAGTATCCACTTGTTTGTATCAACTTCTTGTCCATTCATATTTGATCACTCTTTTTGTGGAGTTAACATGCTACGTTACTGCTTTTGACAAATGTCTAGGAAATAGGTTAAATAGCAATTGAACTTAAGTATTCATTATTCTGACATTTTTCGCGCACCATTTAAGAACTAAAAGGAAATACTCCTTATATATAACGTCATGTCGTTGTGCTTAAGAAAATAATCATTAGTATCCAATGCTAACTTATGGTTTGTTTAATTTGTTGTTTATATAAGAATTTCAATTTAGATCAATGTACATACAATTTTTATGCGTGTATGTGTTGACCCTATAGCGATATAGGTTTTGATGATTTGACAAAGGAACACATGCATGAATCAGGTTCATGAATATTGTACACAGGTCACCGATGGAAACAAGCAAAACGCATACATGTGCAAGAGATAAGCATAAGTGGTTATTTCTTATAATCCCTGAACGAAAAGATTATATATTTGATAATAAGGAGCAGGACTCCTTGTTGGGTTTTGGATGTATTTAATTAATATATTAAATACTTAAAAGAGGGTGAATGGGAAATGGAGGGAAATGAAATTTATTGAGTGAAATTTTAAGTTCCCCCCTTGGCAAATGGGCATTGTCCCATATTGGAAGAGGAAGAGGTTTTTTATGGGTATATAAGCAATTGCTCTTCTTCTAGCTCTTAAAGAGTTGAGAAGAAGGCAAGCCTCGCACCGCCGTCGTCGTCGCTCGGCTCGGCTTCGGCTTCGGCTTCGGCTTCGGATTTGGTCAAATGATCGATTGATTGATTAACTTTTTGGAATCCAATCCGTTTTTCTGTTTTGGTAACAGAAAAGTAACTACCCTCTTCAATTTTCCCTCTTTATTTTCCCTCTTTATTGTTGAGTAAATGGCCATTTATGTAATGGCATTTATGCTGTGGGCGTTTTGCATAAACAGCCATTCTGAAGAGTTGCACCTCTTCAGATTTCAGCCCAACTTTGGCTATAAATACAACACTATTCTGCTCAGAATTTCACTACGATTTTCTGAGTTTCTTCTCCTTCTTCTGCATACTTTTAGCATCAAACAAAGCAAAAAGTAAGTGTGATTTGCTACAGAACTTTGTGTTCGCTGAAACGCAGGGGTTTGAAGTACCACTACACCAGTGTGTAATTCGTTCTATCCTGGGAGGAAATAATCCATAACCTTGGGTACTAGGAGGCGATTAAATTCCTTAAGGAAACACTGTGAATTCAGTGGGCTCGAATTGGTTTTATGTCATTTCTGTTTATGTTCATTTCTGTTTATATTCATTTATATCTCCAGAATTATTTTACAAATACAGTCTACTAACACTCCTTACTTGAAGAGAACTCAATCCAGATAAGGAAAGAATTAGAGGTTAAAGTTAACTAAAACTCTTCTACCAAGGAAGAGTAAAGCAATAGACTTATAGTTACTCTTTATTTACTAACTTTATAAATATCAATGTTGTTCTCTTTAACAGGCAATAGCACAAATGCAAAAGTGAAAGCAAGAATTGAGAGCAAAGAACAAGACTTTTTATGAACGATTACCGTGAGACTTAAGAGTGTGACTGAAGCTACGCAAACCCGATTGAAGAACCAGTCCCATGAAGAGTTTTATGTATCTGTTGTTAATTCTAGTTAAAGTGTAGTAGGAGCTTTTTGAGTTGTACATTCAGCTTTCTTTAGAAGCATTTGTTCTAGGTACTTGAGTTGTCTTATTCAAGTTAGAGTTAACTTGAAGTAGTCGCAACGGTCCGTGGCATTGCTACAAGGGGTAAAGTTTAATCCTTAGATTTGCAAGAGTTTTGTAATTAACTTTGTTTTGGCGCAGAGTTTGGTGAAGGGTTTGGGAAAAATCCTACTGGGAAGTAGGCCGTGATTTTTTCATCTTTTTTAGCTGGGTGTTTTCAACGTGAAGATCTTTATGTTCTTTACTTTCTGCTTTATTGATTCCACTACGGAATTATAAGGAATGCATAAAAGAACCAGGTCCTTTAATAAATCAATGCACGCGAAAATCCAAACCACCCCCTTTTATGTAGTATTGAAGAATAAAATATCAGTATATTTTGTCTTGATCTTGTTTCTAGAAAGGAAATAAACAAATATAATAGGATTTAGAAAGTTGGGAATGAGTTGGAATATTTTTTCTTTAAACATCAAATTATGAGCAGGGTCATGTTTATTAATTTAAATTTCCCAGTATTTAGAGTTTTTTTATTAGTAGTTGCATTAATGCAACTTATAATCAAATACTTCCGAGTCCTGGGAAATTCAAATTAAAGAGCACAAAAGGTGATTTCTAAAAGGCGATGGGTATTTGTTATTGTAATTTTTATTATCAATTAAAATTACTGGGATAAAATAAATCACTAAAAGGTGATTTCTGGTAACATTCTGATGTAAATGAAGAAAAGAATTTATATTCCTGTGCACTTATAATCAATTACTATGGATTTAAAACTTCACGGATGATGACTAGAATATTCTTCCACACCAAAGTATAGAAAGGTAATGTCAATATTGAACAGTCGATCAAATTTTGTTGTTATTCTATGCATGATTCAACAGTGGATCTGTACGATCAGTGACGAAATTGGTTCGGGCGAATGCAAATGAACATTTCTTTGATTCATAGGAGGAGCTTTTTTGGTTTTAGTTGTATTCGGTTTTAATAAAATAAAAGAACATATAGTACCTAAATATATTTAGCTAAAAAGTGAAATAGTTGTCTGGAAACTAATATAATTGGTTTCCAAAAAATTAAAGCCAATTCAAACCTACAAAACTGACCAGCTTGCTCAATCCAGTCAATCATTTTCTTCATTATTCATGTATCCCCCATTCCTGATCTTTCTTGCTTAGTGTAATCTTTTTGGTAATTTTGTGCTACAAGAATCAGAATCAGGAACGAAACACAGAAAAAGATCATTTTTTCGAGACTCTCACAATTTTTTTTTTCTTCCTATTTAACATTTCGATATAATCTGCTCTATGAATCAGAACTAATTAAGAGGGTGTTTGGATTGGCTTATTTTAAGTGTTTATTGGCTTTTAAATACTTTTTTAGTTTGTGTGGTGTTTGACTATGATAAAAAGTGCGTAAAAGCACTTACTTTTAGGCATGAAAAATATAAAAATAAGTCAAAAGCCAAA